CAGTGCCCTGAGATGCCTTGGAACTCTTTCAAGGGTGCCGCAGGGTGCTATGCAATCTTAGTACTGCAAACATGATTCAAAAGATAAACCCAGAGATTTCAAAAAAGAATCCCTAGTGCTATAAGCATTCTGGTCTGTTGTGCTCTTTCTGAGTTCTTTGCAATAGAAAAGTTGCTCTATTGTTTTTCTGTAGTAAAAAAATCCAACAAAACCAAGTGAAAACACAGAGCTGGCATTTTCCAAAGAATCCTCAAGTCTAAAAAAGGTGGAGAAACACTGCTCTAAAGGTGACCGACCCCTGGCTGAATGATTTGCTACCTATGGAAACTTGGTTCCAGAGTGCACCATTCCCAGCTTCTGTTGTGAAGGAAGGGTCCATGGTGGTTTACTCCCCATGCTTGGAAGTCGCTTAGCAGCAGGCGGGTTTATTCTCTCTGAGGTGTGGCATGTTGTCTTTTGTGCAAAGGTTCCTCCTTCCTTTACCGTGAACTTTTATGACTGCTCCATGGAAAGGACAGAGAGTATATCTAAAACAGTGCACCCCATTTCCCTTCCCTTGCCTTCCCCCCACCTTTCTGCAATTTTCTATAAGATATATACTGTTGTGAAGTTTTCAGTTGCAAACCACTTTTGAAACTGAAATCATTTTGTTCTTGTTCCTTGAAACCTGTTAATTTTTTAAGCCACAGGCAAAATATAGCGAGGCAGCTGCATTGAGAGTTTTCCCATATGACCTACCACGTACCCCAGCCCCTCCCAGCTGTGCAAGAGGTAGCTAACTGTTATCCAGGCTCCAGACTTGGCACTATCAGATGCTAAGAGTTGAACTAAAGAGGCTCTAGCAGCAGCCAGAAGTTTTCCCTTTGGAGTCTAGCAACACAGCCTGTTAGGTACTGAATAATCTTGCTCGACTTTGGCTTCTTGTCATTGGCTTAGCATACAAATAATATTAAGTTTGAAAATGAATGTAATACTTTTTACTGATTTCTTTTCATTGCTTCCTAGAAACCACACCAATCCATGCCCTCCCCTCCACCCTTTATAAAGGAGGTGATAAGGCTTTTATGTATGTACTACAGATGCAAATAGGGAAGTGTATAAAGAGCTTATATATGTATTGACAAGCTCAGTGACTTTTATACCCATGTGTCAGAATTAGCTCCTGCTTTAACTGTTAGGAGGAGTAACTGAAACTTTTGTTCTAACACCTCTTCTGCCTGTGAATTATGGTGTGGGCTCTAATACATGAGGAGAGACATGATTTTTAATTTACCTAACAACCTTCCCATGACTAAAGAAAATGGCCTGTAATTTAGAGCACTTCCAGGTTTACAAAGTTTTCTGAAGCTGGTGAGAGTACACAAAAGCTGTAAACCCACACGTGCCTTGCTGAACTTTTTTGCAACTGCCACTAGTACTCAGTTAAATAGGGGAGCAAGAATGAGTCTCTCTCCAGGCTTAGCTGTTTTTCTCAGTTCTGAAACTCTTGAATCTGCAGCCTATTTTCTCCAAGATCCTTAGGTGTTAACTGTTTTTATATGAGTTGAAAGAGGCATTGGGTGCAACTTATGTCAACTCCTGTTTCCTGTTATTATGCGTACTGCTTCTCTCAAGGTTGTTTTTGCTTTTTCATTCCCTTTGCACGCACAAAAGAAACAGAATGTTTGATGCTTGAACTCAGACTCATCCTGGCTCTCAGTACATCTCTGCATGCCGGCTTTATGGTTTTTGGAAGAAGTGCTCTTATTCAAACGGAGAAAAGTGTTCTTGACACCTGTGCTTGCATCGTGGACCTCTGCTATTTCATCCTGTGAGGAGAGAGCCGAGTTGGAAGTGATCCATTCATGACAGCCTGTTGAGATTAGTGTTTCATTTTGTAGGCTATCCTTAAAGAAATGGCAAAACAGGCATGTGTGATGGACATGGGTGCACAGGCTTGGCTGAAAAGTTTCTGTTTAATGATTCATTCAGCTAGGCAGGTGTTTTAGGCCATGTGTAAGCATGGGAAGTACTTTACCTGCATAGGAAGACCTGCAGTACTATACCAGCAAAAGGCTTCTGTGGAAGCAGCTACTCCAGGGGTTGTCAGCTGGGGGTACATGTACCCCTAGGGGTACTTAGAAAGGTCATAGGGGGTATGCGCATGCAGCAGGCAGGTAGGGACAGAGTGGGCCCTGGAGCACTGTGCCAGTGTCTCCCCCCAGTGCATTCCCATACTTTTGTTTCCTACCCGAGGCAGGGGGAGGAGGGCAGGATGGGCATGCAGGGTGCCGCCAGCCCCACATGGTACCCAGCAGCACCTCCCTGCCCCTCACCTCAGTTCGCTCTCTGTGCCTTCTCCCAGGAGCAGGGCCAGGGGACAAGGACAGTGGCACCCCTCTGCAGGCCACACGCACCGCCTGGCCAGTTGGACTGCTCCAGCCCCACTTCCTCTCTCACCATGGGGGCCTCAATCTGCCCCCCTCCCCCAGCCCCTTAAAAACGAGAAAAAATATAAAGGGGTACATGAGCTGAAACTGAGGCAGAAGGGGTACACTTGTTAAAAAAAAAATGTTGAAAACCCCTGAGCTACTCAACCAAGGCTGCACTTTGTACTAATATAATAAAACTACCCTCCAGTAGTAAAATAACTACTACTTTTAAAAGAGTTATAGCAAAAAATGCATTATGTTAGTGGCTTCTGTCAGTATAGCTGTGGAGGTCAGGGAGTGTGTCTCTTCACGCTCCTGACTGACCTAGTTGTGCTGGGAGAAGTTGGTGGGACAGAGCAGGGGTGGGTGGCCCACCTGTGGTACAAGTGGCACAGCAGCCTCTGTGTCTGGTATGCAGCAGATCAGGAAAGGGGCAGGTAGCACAGTGGCAGGTAAGACAAGGAAGAGATAGCAGATCAGTGAATGGGGCAGAGGAAGGGGATCAGAGCGGGATTTGTGGAGGGGACTGGGTTTAATTTGTGGGACTCCCGCCAAAAAGGTTGGCCCCCACTAGCATTCACTTTCTTTGCTCTTTTTAATCACATCTATGCTGCATGCATTTCAGTTCTGCAGTGGGGTGGGTTGAGCCATTCAGCATATCCGTTGACTTAAGGATTTTTGGTGCTGGTGTTCTTTATTCCCAGTTGTGTCAAGGCAGCATTTATGGCTTTAAATGTGGTTCCTATGTGGCAGTACCCTTAAGTGTCAATTAGCCAGATTCTACCTGTGCAGAAGGTAGATGCATAACCAGGTCATAGCAGAGCCCAAATAAAACCAGGACGTAATGGTCCAGTACACCTCTTGGTGAGGGTGTCTACTTTTGTTACAGTTTTGAACTTTGGTTTCACTAGAGTATTCAGAACCAATCAAAGAGAGAGTTTCCTCTTCATTTGCTTACAGCAGTGCATCAAGAAAAGATATTCCATAAATTGGAATGTGGTAATGAGGGTAAAACTAATACGAGATTCCCAGTTGGGAAGCTTTGGGTTCTAGTGAGGTACGTCAATAAGACTGGGGAAATATGGACCTTGTGCAGTGTTGTGTTGAGTTGAGCACCGGCCCAGAAAAACTTAGGGCTTGTCTGCAAGGGGCAAGTTTTCAGTTACACCCACGTAGTTTAATCTGTGTGGTTATGCGATATAATTATATCTGTTCAAATTCACACTTTAGTTTATGTGGTATAACTTTCTATGTAGCCAACCTGTAGTCTTGAATTGACTCAGGCAGTATCCACCTACTCCACAGTTTGATTAGATCTGATGCAATATTTACTAAGCTGCTGGGCAAATGTCACATTTTAATTTATGAAAATTGTATCTTGGCTCTTCCCACTATTGAAAATGTTTGTGTGACCTTCCCTCTTTATTTCGCAAGATGTTTTAAAGCATGATGCTCTCTTATCTGTTCAATGAAGACTCTTATATCTGAGGATATATAAATAAATGCATTCAATTTAATAAAATCCAATGTATAAATTAGATTACAATGCTGTAGTAAGCATAGGATTAAATATTAATGAAAGATGAAGTGTAAAGTGAAAAACTGATAAAGAAGAGGAAGTGTTTGCTTCTTTCCTGTATGTTTGACATGTGCATATTCCTTCTCAGTGCTTGCACTTCTCATCGCTCCACTTTCCTAAAGTTTTATTTCAGTCCCCTTCCAATCAACAGCCCCACATATTTAAAAGGGAGTCCTGGAGCATATTTTTTCTCTTCTTTTCTTTTTTTTAATCAATGAATTCTACATTTCTTGGGGGGAAAAAAAGGATTTTACATTTTGAAACCAGAAGCTGAACTAATGTATTATGTGTACAAGTAGGAAAGGTACAGCTGCAAGTTTGTTTATTTTTTTGCCTTGAAAGATGTCTTCTTCACAGGGGTCTGAGTTGGGTGCCAGCCCTTTTAGTTGTGTTCTGATTCCACAGTACCTTGACCTCTTCAAGATGGACCTAAAAACACTTGTGTTGATTCTTGAGTTCTATTGTTTTAATATTTTACTAGTTGAGAGAAAGATAGGTCATACTTATATTGGCTGTTTATTAGGGCATGCCATTTATTTTTGTTCAATCACAAAGGCCACTATACCTGTGGTGCACATTGTTTGATTATTGCCAGAATGTCTAATGTGTTTTCTTATCTTAAAACAGCACGGATTAGCCATGTACAATTTCACCTCAATTTTTATGTACCCATTGTTATAAGAAATTCAAACATGAAGTGTTTTTGTTGCCTGGATGATGGTCTCTACAGAATCTTGAATTGTTACTAATACTGGGGGTGTTATAAATTGTGTTCAAATTGAGATTTCCCTGTACTTTTAATGCTGGTTTCTGACCTCATTGATATTGCTTGTGTAAACTGAAAAATAATTTTTGCCCTAAGGAAAGAAAAAAATGGGATTGTGCTTTATGGCATTTTGATCCTTTACTAATAGTGAGCATTCTGAAAATGATAGTGAAAAGGGAGATAACCAACTTCAGTTGCCTCTCCCACCTCATCTGAATCCATGGGTGTTATTTCCTTCCTGCAGAGTCCTAGAGTGCCAAGGCCTGCCAATTGTGAATGGACAGTGTGACCCCTATGCCACTGTGACCTTAGCTGGACCATACAGGTGAGTAATGAAAACTCAAGGGCTTTCCCATTGTAGAATTGTAGTGAGAAATTGCTGTTTGTTTCCTTTCAGCTAATAGAAATTTGATTTCTGATACAGACAGAGGATTTAGCTATGCCTGCTACACCAAGCAAATGCTTTAAGGCTTATATCAGTGTTGATAATTTAAAGTATTGAATATTTATAGAGAAAATGAAATCTTGCAGAGTACTTAATTTATACCTTAATTAGTATGCTTTAACTGATACCACTTCTTACCTGGCAATTGGAAGTCAGTGTTCAAACAACTTGCTTGTTCTGTGTGAGGTAAAGACTAAATTATTTGGGTTTTTACTTCTGCTTTAGGCCACTTTTGATTTTAATATTTGGAATCCTTTCAGTTCGGAGGTGTATATATAGCACCTCAATATCTATGGAAAATGCTGTACATGACCCTATTCAGATAAAAATGGTAGGACAGGGCCTAAATAATTAGTTAATATTCAGTGCTGTTGATCTTAACAGTTAATCTAATAATAATATTAAACAGGGGCTTGAATTGGTACATTCTGTAATTAGATTTTGGGGGTGTCAGCGGTTCATTTGTTCCTCTGCTTATCAGGAGAGTTGTTTTACAAACAGAGCTGAGCTGTTCTATCTCAAGGATTCAGCCTAATTAGCACAAACACTTCAGAACTTTCTGTAGTACTAGTTAAAATGTTATAAATGAAACACGTTCTTGCCAAATAATTGCCTTGTGGTGCACAACAGGTTGATTTGGTCCATACACCTAATCTCTCAAGACATTTTAAATTGTGCCCAACATAATGGCCACAATATTTTGGTGATATGCATCAAATGTTTGAAATGACTGCCCTGTTTAAATGACACCAGGTGAATATTATTAACATGATTACTAAAATGAGCTTTTTGGCTTCTCTTTTAGTCTTAATTGTCTTTACTTTTCCTTGGGTGCACTATAACAACATAGCGATCATGTAGGTCTGCACATGGTTGGCAGCTATGTTGCTGTAGTGGCGCACTCCCCTGTTTTTGTTTTAGTGCGCTGCTATGGTGGCATAGCAGTGAAATCTAACCATGAGCACGATGCACTACAGGTGGTTACTGCACCATGCATTAGTACTTCCAAAAAGAAGTACTAAAGCACAGCGTTGTAACAATGTTGCCGTATGGCAACATGTAGAGGCACTCCTTGTCTCAAAGTCCAGTGTTATAGTTTAACTCAACTAATATGACTCTGTACGTTAGGGGGCTGGAGGCAAACAGTACTGTCTATCTCCAACATACAAGGCTTACCTCTATCATCTTCCATCACTGTTTTTCCTACATACAGCTCACTCCTGTCTGTTGCTTAGTAATTGCCCAGTAATTGTCCATGTCTTAATCATACTGTTCCATATCCTGTTTTCTAATCCTGTCCCCTTTAAGATGTACTTATCTGTAAAAACAACAACAACAAAAAAGCTGACCGGCATTTGTGACTGATGGGATAGAATAGGCAACTACATGTTATATCCTGGAAGTAATTAGTATCTCTTATTGCTTGGTTCTTTGTTACAATAGTGAGGTTTTTTTAATCTCAAATTATTTTCTTCTTTGTTAGTGCCTCCTGTATCTTTGTGGAGGAACTGTGTTTAATCTGTCATGTGCAGCACCAAGTAATAAGTATTAGCCAACTTTATTAGCATACATTTGTGTGCTAGTATAGAGCCTAGAGGTCACAGACAAGGTTGGAGGCCCATTTTTAGAAACTAAATGAATAGAGTAAGGGACACTCCCCATCCCAAAGATTTAAGACAGACTGACTAAATACACAGATAGGAAATGGCACTGTTTACATTTCATAGATGAGAAACAGAAGCATACCTCAGGGTAAGTGGCTTGCTCAGTGTCACACAGGAAGTTTGTGGCAAAGCTGGGAATTAAAGCCAGACTTCCTTCCCCACAATAAAATAATATAATGATGTTAGGTGGGAAATTATAGCAGTTCAGTGTAAGTTGCTTTTCAGAGTTAGAAATGAAGGACATGCCCAAAGATGTGCTTTTTGTTTAAAAAAATTCCCATGATGCTTGTATCCCTCTGACTTTTACTAACACAGCTTTCATACCTTCTCACTTCTGATAAATTGCAGAGAATCTGGATGGCTCGGGGGACTGGTAAAGAGAGAGGGAACTTTTACATTCTAATTGGCTGGATCAAACTGAGCCTGGCTTTATAGATGTTGGACGTTATCTACTGATAGCTGCTTGCTAGCTTTTGTAAACCAAATTGATGGCTTCAGTCCAAAGGCTAATGGCCAGGTATCTA